TTGCTGTCTCACAGGTAATTCATCTATTCATTTAATAACGTGGAATTTACCTGCTATCTCACTGGCACCGTTCATAGGAAAGAGTGGTTCCTAAGAATTTGACGCATTTTACACCACACCAATCTTTGATACCTGATCCAGGAGGTATAGAATGTATATTGGAATCATTGATAAGCGGATGTCCTCTTCTGGAATTTTTATCTATTGATATACGTGAAGCACCGGGAATGCTTGCTGGTAGCCATGAACTGATTTTGAAAGCATCGTGGCCCCATCTGGAGACGATTGAACTGGAACAATTATTCGGTCTCATCACGAGCGAAGATCCGAATTCGATGTTGAGGAATTTCCAGAGTAGGCACTCATTGATGAAAGTTATCGCCTTGCCGCCCATACCGGATTCTTTCAGTCTTTGTGACTGTCTGTTGCCACGACTGAAAGTACTCGATCTAGGGCTAATGCCATTGGAGAGTAGTTCGCGTATATTCTCGCGCGGGGTATTATTTCAATTTACAACCCTTTACGTTGGGATTTCTGAGACGGACCTTCCATTCCTTGAAAACCTGCGGAGTTTGCTATATATACTGGCAATTATCAACGTGCAGGATCTTGCAATCCTAAAAGAAAATATTTCACGGAAAATAGGGCTTCGATTGGCGATAAACACGCGGAGACCTTCGCAACCTGGGCAAAATATGTGTCATTACTTTCATCCACGCCATAAGGTGCGTAATTGCTTTCATAATACACTTATATCCTTATGATCACACCTACCCTTACAGATTATTCTTGATACACTTTTGGTTCAGTTATCGAAGTTGAAATCCCTTAATTTTTTTTTTTCGATGGTTGGGATGGATTCCCCATTCATGGGGACGATTTTGACTCAAGCATTATCCGATTCGCACACGGGACAACAATCGAACACGTTCGCATATTTGGCTCCAAACTCAGTCTGTTCTTCAACTCATCGTTCTGGGCTAGGATTATTCGAGACAGTGAAGGAAAATATGCGGGCTATAAAAGGCTAAAGAAACATAGCTCTGCATTTCGCAGAGAGATTGAAATTGAAATTGATGAACACGCCCTATAGATGAGACGGATGATACATAATTCATGGGAGGAATACAGGCATGTTAATCCTTTACTCTAGCGATGCCGATCAATTCTGATCAAGATCCTTGAAAAGGGACACTATATCTCTTGAAAAAAAAAAATTATAACGAGGAACGGGATAGTTGTTGCCATAATTTCGTCTTGGGTGTACTTAGTGATATTGTTTCAGCCGTTTCCAAGCACCCCTGTATGCTTAAGTAATTGCTGTGCACTCTCACGATCTGCGCTCGTATGGTTTGCACACCATGTCCATCGTCTAGCTTCCTATCGAACTCCTTGAAAATATTCTAAACTCCATCGATAACCCAAGCGATCTCCTAGCACTTGGCTTGGCATACAAATCGCTCAGCGCACTCATCATCCTAGATCATCTCCATTTCATCTCCATTATCGAATCATCCGATGTGGTTCGACAGATGCTCCAGTTTGGCAAGACATGGCGGAACATCCTCTTCTCGCAATGCGAGTACAAAGCCTATTGATATTATCAGGGAGAATCGCAGACGAAGACCCGGAGAAGACACTCATTCTCATTCCACGATGTATTCGTCCTCATCTTCAGCAGGCACGCTTTGAAGACATCGCTGGTATCGTCAGTGTCGACCGGGAACTTGGATATTTCAGGATGATCCTGGAGGCAATCGCACGTATGAAGAAGCTTCGGCATTTCGAATCGAATAAAGCCACGAAACTGCTCTCGACACGGGAGCCTTTCTATATCCTTCAAGATCTCTTCTGTTATATCGCAAAATGATGTCCAATGGTGCATTCCTTACGTTTTATACGCAATAGGAAAAGGGAGAGAGCCGGTTTATACAAAAGTATCATTCTAGGTGCACCCGTACGTCCTTTATTCCTATGAAAGGATTTTAACTTTCTTGTGTGACTCTTACCTCAAGAAAGCTGTCAAAGCCTATATAGTGCTAGGTATGCTATATAGCCTCCTATCGATTTAGCGAATCCGCAATAGCATAGCAGCCCCTATCAGTTTAGCGAGGCCCGCCGACAGACCGTCATCGCTAGAAGCCTCTAGGCTACTGCTCTATAGCACAGAGACTCAATAGATCGCGGTTACTAGCTCTTCCTAGACCTCCATTCTCGCTTATTGTTTCCTTCCGATATTATTAATGAATGAACATTTATTCAGGTATTCTAGCTAGGCAATTAGCTGCCCATGCCAACTTTCCTGATGTAGGAATTATCGTTTCTCAAAAATCTGACGCATTTTACATTAGATATATTTGCCGTGGAAGAAACCTTATCGGACATAGAGAATATCCTGCATTCTGCGGTAGACAGATGTCCCCTTCTTGAATCTCTATCTGTCGATATACGCGAAGTGCCGCAAAGGCTGGCTCACTGTCGTGCACTGCTTCTGAATGCAACTTGGCCATCCTTGAAACAGCTTGCATTGGCGGGATCATTTCGTTGGAGCGATGTTGTGCAGGATGAAGGCCCTCCAACATTGCTTTTGGACAACTTTCTGGGTAGCCATCCATCCCTGAAAGTACTTGCTCTTCTAGATATTATGTTTGAGCTCAATCTTTCGGACCTGGCATCACGACTGAAAATCTTCGGTACACTAAATAGTGTTGAAGCATGTTATGAATATACTTTCGTTTTTTTTTTTTCACACCTAAACATCCCAGGCCTCCGCTCCCATTCCTCTGCACAAAGTTCTCCTTGAGTTATTGAAACTGAAATTCCTCAAATATTTTTGCCTCGATAGTTAGACGGAATTCACCATCAAAGGGCATTATTTCGATTCCTGCATTATGGAATTTGTAGAGAAGACAACTATTGAATACATCCGTATATTCAATATTGTAGATAGTATTGGTGGTTCGAGGTACACAGGCTCCTGGGCTAGAATTATTCGGGACCGCCAAGGAAGATATGCGGGGTATAAAAGACTGAGGAGCAAAGGCTCGACATTTTACAGGGAGATAAGGCTGTATTTCGACGAAGACACTGTATAAATGTTGAGGCGGTCAAACCGATCATGGTCTTGTTTATGCTGTGAGCCAGCACTTTTAGGTTCACTTCATATAAGCAAGCTTTGTGTCAAATATCTTATCATTAACTGCACATACTTTGCTGCTAACGGACTACTACATCATTCGTTTCTAATTAGTACTACTCCCTACCTCCATGCTTCTAAATCACCCCATCGTTTTCTAACAGCTATCTCTCCCATTCATTATTTATAGTATTGCAACAAGTGTTTTAAAACGAGTACCTTCTGATGTGCGTCTTCATTCGTAGTCTTCGAAGTAAATCCCCTGCGACCTATTGGTATCAATGCGTCTCGACCGCCGCAGTTTTTGCACACCGTAGGCCCAACCACTGCCAAAGGTGCTATGCGCCTGTAATACCAGCGTTTGCTTCAAGGTATACATACCTCCGATGAGAGCGGTGGTGTAACAGGTACGATTCTACTACCCCAATGGAGCATATCAATGTCAACGATTTGTAAGCATCAATGGGGTAGTGTTAACCTTGGTCGTTGCCATCGACTAGCCGCGAGTTCAATTCTTGGTGCAATTTGTTTCTGTTGAATTTTTTTTATATGACAGCGCTGATTTTAGTGGACATTCCTGTGATAATTTTAATGAATGTCATCCTCGCGTAATCCTCCTGCGAAATGAATTTATAGTAAGTTGATAGGCAGCATGTGACATGACATCCGTCACGATATTGCCATCGCTGTTGCCTTGGAAACAATTGGGATCTATGTCGGATAATCCTGCTCCCATCCACCATGTCGATCACAAGCTTTCCCATCGAACTCCTCAATAAACTCATAGGAGATATTGACAAACCAAGTGATCTGCTTTCACTGGCATTGACATCTCAATCTTTCGAAAAACTTCTTTCAGACCACCTCGATTATCGTATCATCCAATGTTCGCCAGCAGATAGGCGAGTGTGGCAGCATCTCAGCAAACATCCTCGCCTCGCAAAGAGAGTCAAAAGCATTCGGATAATACCAGGGTTCAGTGAAGAAGAGAGTTCAGATAATATCCTTATTATTCATTTTTGTCGATAAGGGTGAGGGAGCTGTCTCAGGTACCGAACGTGGTTCAGAATGTTCTGAATTTGATAGGACTGAAGTTCGCGCTACCCATGCCGTATTTTGTGACCGGTGTTATTGAAAAACCTCAGGTGCACGATAGCCTATAACATGATGTGTACATTCCTAACACAATTTGAGTAGGTTATTTCCCTTGAACCACTATTGGTTGAATTAAAGAAGTTGCTGTCGCTGAAATATTTCAGTCTCCACTGTTGGGAATACGAGTACTTCCCACAAAATGGTTTGGCTTCTGCGTTCCGGAATCTTGCCGAAAGGACAACCATCGAATATCTTCGTATATCCGATTTGACCCTTCCCAGTGTATGGTACATGCTTCTTCGCCAGGGGGAGGGAAATTATGTGAGGTACATAACAATACGGTGTCGAAGATATATTGATATTTATGTCGGGCTTGAGGTCGGGCTTGATGAAATTGATTTTAGTGGATTCCATCACGAGTATATCTTGGATGGGACTCAACAGCACCGTTGCTCCTTTAATCTAGCACGTAACTGGGTTATCGTATATCACGCAGATGTTTTTATTCGCGTCATGAGGGGTTAATTTATACCCTGATTCATTCCCCAAGATTCATGGTAGTCATGTTTAACGGCTCCTCAGACGGAGAATTATCTTCCTCCTGTTTCTTTGAGAATGGTTATAATCCAATAAGCATCATGGCTCAATGTCTCATCCCTTTGCGGCCAAAACAAATGGTTAAATTTAAAGAATTGTGATGGCCAATATTATTTATTGCCTACATTACCCCCACTCTAAGAAGAATCTCAGAACAGAAGGAAAGAAAAATTGGACAAGCGGCAAATTGAACGCCGGACCTTTCGCACGCAGATCATGCTAAGCGAATGCTATACCACTAAACCACATGCCCTTGATTAGCTGGGCTGTTCGAAACATCAACCCGCTATGGTGTTTTCCCTCTATTCCGCAATCCAAAACACTTGCTTGAAAATGCGGCACCAAGGACGAAAAGGGAAGGAGCGGATCAACGTATATGGCTGTGTCCGCGTGATGAGTAGACCAAAAGGATTCATCGACAGCGTGCAGGGTTGCTCAATCGATATCATGAAACGGAGGTATTTCCCTGGCTTATAATTGGCGTCCCCGAAGATACAAGGATGAAGACGACCGCTTTCTCCCCCTAATACCAAAGGCAGCCGTAAGATACTGTTATCAAGGTAAGTATGACTGATTTTCGTGATACCGATCCGCCTCCAATAATATTTTATTCCAGTGGATCTTCTACCACGCGTCTTCGAAGATGCAATGCGGTACAGAACCTTTCAACCTACCCAACATTTCTCTGTGGAACCATGGGGCTTTACTAAGTACGCCGTCGAGAAGTTACAGAAAGAAAACTTTATCCTCCGAATTTTCGACAGGCTTTGCTAATTTACTAGTGTTCAGGACCTGGGGAATAGTCTGGTGAAAAATCGGAGAAACCGTTATTGGTGGATTTCGAGACGGGTTGTATCCGCTTCAATAGCCAATTTCGTGCCCTTTTATCCCTGTATACCGTAAATACTTGGGGTGTATGGACACCGGAAATCCGTCATTGAAAGCGGAAACGGGCCTGTCGGACATTATCTTTATTTGATTCGTTTAAAGGTGTTAGAGTATGGAGTGTTTAGCTTCTGCGTAATTTCTTATACATATATCTCTTTGACGTGTTTAATTTCTTGGAGAGATGCCACTTATCCAGTCACTAGGTTATGTAACGACTTGGATTATTCGCTGCGATTCTAGACTCAATAGTCTATAATTTTGTCAGTGAGATGGAGCTCTTACTAAGTAGTTTCTGGAACGCAGTGTTATCGAGAGAATAAGCAAGAAGTAATTATGCGTAGTAGAGTAATAGATTAAATTAGAATAATTTCCGCTGAAATCTAATTCATTTTGTTCTCATTCCTGTAAGTGTATACCTGGATGTATGTGCACTGCAGAAAGGTGAAATGAAGCGGAAACGAAGAATTATCGGCTACTTTTGTGAGTTACCACATTTCATTCTTTTGGAGCTACTTAACGCAGCTTGATCGAGTCAATAAATAAGCAGTAGTAATGATGTAGAGTGAGTAGCAGAATGGAATAATTTGAACACCAGTACCCCAAGGTACGCAAGAGCTAGCTGAGCTGATAACGATAGTTGAGGACATGGAGAATGAAGGCGAAAAGAAACTATCACTATGCATGATGGGGACGCCTATGACCGCGTCATTTCATTGCTTCAGCCAGTATACGTGTCTGATTCGCGAACGCATAACTCACTACTTATACGTAGTCGCGATCCCCGAAACATCTATCCTCAAGTCGCAGGAACGGCATAGGTAAATTCGAGACAGGGCTTATGCGCTTCGAATCATAATTCCCGCCCTTTCGTACCAGTATAACTTAAATATATGTGTGCTTATCCACGAGGGAACACGCCTACCAGATAGGGTTCATTGCTTCGTTATGAGTATGTATTCGAGTACTACTGATACTATTTTTAATGATACTGTATTATATATTTACTTACGTAATTAAACGAAGTACATTCTACACACATGCTTGGGTGCTGGGTTAACAATATAAATACGGTGTCTTGTCGTGTGTGCTCGGCTTTGTGATCAATCCGACAGTGACTCTAAGTATCTGATCATAGGATATAATATCGACGCGAGGTAGAGGTCCACGCATTACTTTAGTCCTTTTCTTGACGACGTACATCAGGAAAGTTGGCAAGTGGCGCTTAATTTTCTGTAGCACTACAGATTCTACAAAATGTCTATGGAAATAATGCCCAGCTAGCGTCGCTAGGCTTTCACCTAAGTCACAAAGTCAACTCAGCTGGTTTGAACAATACTGAGCACTATCATACTTAGTGTCACACCACTACCTTCCCTCCTCTACTCTGTAGTATTCCCCCTGTGTCGTTCCTCAACAACCCATGGTTTGCTCCTCTTAGAACACTTCAAAATTTCAGTCACTCCCCCTTGCATCTACTGACAGATTCCACGAACTCCACAGAGAAATGCAGGCAAACTGCAGATGCAACATTTTGCATTGTGCGTCATCACTTGTGAGTTAGTTATTGTTTTGGATCTTGCACCGTATATAGTAACTACATCACACACCTATAGATCACTTTAAATTTAGGCGGCATGGTGTAATCTGTGCACTCCCTGGACAAGTCTTATTTCTCCGAAGCCCTCTGCCCATTTTTTCAGTTCCCATTCCAGGATAGCTTTGGAGTAGAGCTATGTTACAATCTGTTGTCACCCTTAGCTACATACCTCACAACTGCCGACAGTCATATTTGCGAGCTAATCATATGGCGATTCAGCTGGCTTATGAAACCAGGACGAGGGATTGAGGATAATGGAGGGAGACAGCATGGCAACATGGCGGTGGATTTTGGGGTATGTCTATCTCTTCCGAATGTTTGTGGAGCTGCTCTAAACAACCTCCCTTTCTATGAACAGATGTGCTATACCAATAGATACTGAGTTTCAAAACCTTCACTCTATTCTCCTTCCTTTCTAATCTTCCTGTGCTTCATATGCTAACCACCACAGTTACCAATTACTAGAACTAATGCATGTATTTAAAATACGAAATATATATCCTAATTTTTGACTAAAGTATTGCGTCATTATGCATAATAATAATCGTATTTAATGAATAAAAATGACCAATAATACGGTACTAGGCATGCCCACTGAGACTATAGGTTCTATAGTTCGCTGCATAGATGTCTATAGTACCTGCAACCGCTATGCTAGCACAAAATGACATGACTTCTATGGAAGCTATGGAGACTACCATAGTGTACATAAATTACAGAGGCTATGGTGTCTATGGACGTTATATAGCCTCTGTAGCAATTTGCCAACTTTCCTGATGTACTTAAATGAGTGGTACTTAGTAGGAGTAGAGTAGATAGTAGAATAAATGAAAGACGGGTCATGCGATCAAGATGCTTGAAGGTTGGCCGAGGGAGAGAGAATGAAGGCGATGTAAGATGACTTGGACAACGACGCGTTATACCATTTGCTTCCGCCAAAATACACGTCGCTATATGAAAAACAGATCGATAAACAGAAAACACATCTAATACAATCCCTAACGCTACAAATTTCCAGCTAATTCCCCAAAACAACTGCCTGCCTAACCATCCCATCCCTCCCCGCCACCTTCCCACTAACCGCCCTCCCTGCCGGCGGGCCCTCCCCAGAAGCCTGCGTCACAACAGCCGGAACCGCCACGGGGGCCGCACTAACCACACTAGCCGGTATACTCACCTCCGGCACAAAAGCGGGCGCAGTCGGGACCGTGAGCGTGGGGGCATTGGTTTTGCGCCCAGGCCATTGGAGCAGCCAATTCGAGATGGTAGCGACAGCGGCGTTTTGGACAGTCTGGATGGTGGGGTCGATGGATGCCTGGGTGAGGAGGTCAGAGCAGTGGAAGCCGTTGCCGACGAAGATGGGTTGGGAGGGGGTGGAGGAACGGGGGTGGAAGTCGGAGGAGAGGGTTGCTTCGCGCCAGGGGTCCTCTGTGTGATTAAATAATAAAGAACATGGGATAAATTAGATTGGGTGGATGTTGGGTAAGGAGGAACGCACGTTTTCCATTCGCAACAAAGAGCCTAAACAAGTTCACATCCCATCCCTTGAACTTCTGGTTTGTGGCTGCTACTTGGGGGACGGGGGCCTTTGGAAAGGCTTTAGGGAACATTAAGCTGCATTGACGCTGTATCATGGGTCAGTGAATACGCAGTTAATTGTATTAAAGTAGCAAAGCGTACCTCATCATAAGCAGGCTGCACAAGCCTCGTCACAAGACTCGGCCACCCGAGGGGCGCGCCTTCTTGGAAGAATCCGACTTGATTGCATCTAAGATCGATAATAATAAAATAAAATTCATTTAGTGGGTCTTTGAAAGTAAACGGGGATGAGGGACGTACACCACTAGAAGGAAGACGTCAATAATCATAATTGCGAAATGAAGGGGAAAGGGGTATACTCCACGTCCACGAGCGATTCGCATCGTCTATAGTCGTGTTGGTGTAGAAGGATTGCGTGGCGTTGTATGTTCCGAGGCAGTCTCTGCGCAGAACAAAAAGAAAAGAAATCAACACCCTGTGGAACCTGATGCAATAATAGAAGAAACATACTCGGTGTTATCGTCTCCACAAACTAACAACGCACGATAAAATGTAAATTTAAACGCTATCGTCCTCTCAGAAAGAGTAGAAAAACAACTCACTCGCCGGCAGATAAGTATTTTTAAAGTAAGATCCCCAGGCCGACAGAGCATGCTGCAGCCCCCACCCACTAGCGGGCGCGTTCACGCCGTTCTTCACTTCCAACGCGTCGCAGGACTGGAAGAACGTCGCATTTGGGCCGACGTAGGGCTGGAGGCTTTGCCAGTCCCAGAGGATGTTGCGTACTTAATTGAAATAAAGGAGTTAGCGTTGCGGTTCAATGTCGAAAGGAAAAGGCAAAATGAAATAACAGGAGAGAATGAAGGAAAGAGAAGGAGAAACGCACAAGCACCCGCAACATCATCCAAATGGGTCACATCCTCCATCCCGAACATAGCTTTAATCTGGTTCTTTGCGGCGGGGGTGCCGAAGGTGAAGACGCTGTCGATGTGGGTGATCACGGCTTCGATGTCTGCGGAGCAGTTCTTCGGCATGTTTTGGCGGATGGGCTCGAAGTAGGCCCAGTAGTCGCTGTGAGAACGAAGTTAATAGGGATTAAGGTTAATGGGTTGGTGGGGTGTTTGGAGGGAGGAAAGGGAAGGGAGGGTGAACGTACGTGATAGCTTCGACGACGCCGGAGGAGGCGTAACCTGCCCAGAAGACACCTGGTTGGCTGGTAGGAGATATAA